ACGAAAAAGAAAACCAGGGCATCCGGATTGAGCTACTACTGAGTCCTGCCCCCCAGGATGAATGCGACATTCTGCTCCAAGATACCACCCCGCGAGTTCAGGGTAGACGACGCAGCCCTACGCGCTGGCGATTGATCAGCCATCTACCCCAGATTCATCACACGATGAGCGTTGAGTGGTCAACCCCTGAGCCCATCTTCCCGCATGATCGACTTTTTAATCTATACCTTCGCATGCCTCGTTAATCGATGTACAATACTTAGCGCGCATTTCAGCTTTTCCACAGCTTGTACAATGTCCAGCGCACCACCGCGCTTTCGACCGTTCTGTAGCGACCATATGTACGGCCACACAGGCCACACTATTAAATTTACTAAATACGCTATAATCATAATTACGATTCTGCGCAATATGTCATGCTACAAACCAATACGATAGCAATCATGCGCTCTGAACAAGCACCACACCGCCTACCATCCCGTCCCTCGGCTAGAGTACGAGGACAATTGTCACCACAACTCTATTTCTAGCACACACGCCAGACGTCACTGCATTGCTTGAACCCACATCCACTTTTCCTTCCTTCCCGCAGACGCCCCTCAGCAGCCCAAGCTAACGCCTCAAAGCTTTTGCGCCGTGAAATTGCGAGAGAAAGGGGCGGAGGCGCACAGCCTAGTCTTGTCAAGTTGGCGAGCTTGTGCGCTTGGCGCGTGCTTATTTGGGCTGGATTACGAGGCCTGCCGTTTGGTAGCGAGTGCGGAGGCGAAGGGGAGCGGTGGCGTCGTCAAGGTTGGTATTTTAGGGGAGGGGATTGGATTTATTTACTTGTCATGCTAATAGGTGTTGCTGGTAGGGTAGTGTTGGATACTATGCTGACCGCCGACGGTGATGATGCGGAAACAAGGGCAAGGGGGGTGTCGGGAAGATGAGCGAGGCAGGAAACCTACCGCCAGCCGCGGATGTGATTCCCGACCCACTCGTATGCAGTGCACTCCAGTCTATTTGGTCGACATGCCAATGGGGAGTGTTGCATGCTCTCCACTCTGCTCAGCCCTGACGATCATGAGCAATGGCGATGCCGAGGGTCCGGTCAACGGCAGGCCGGAAACATGTACTGTCCGCATGGAAGTGGTGTTCTTTTTTGGATGGAGTGTTTGGATTGTGGTGGAGCGGATCCCTGCTTCATCCATCAACCTTGCACATCGCACAATAGAATGGCGGCTACGGTACAAGGTTGGGCGAGAGACAGATCTGGTCGATGCGGTGCGAGGGGTCTTGACAGCCGACAGCCCTGACAACTGACGGCTTTCATGCACGCTCGGTGCGACGACGCCTTAGCGCCGAGGCTAGTTTGATCCTTCAGCCTCAGAAGCAAGCTGCAACCCTGCGCAAGTCTAACATTGTCGTCGTGGCGATGATTGGTTACACGAAACGACGCCGACACTAATGGGGGTAGCAACACGAATTGTGGAGTGTGTACCGTTTTATTAAAGACCGGATAGCTTCGCTGATGGGCTCTTCCTTCTCTCCCAGTTATCCCATCTCTGGAGATAAACACCGAAATCGTACATTCGCTTCTATACAGTAAAGAAAACGATCGTTTCAATCGTAATACATAATTCAGGATGCGTTTCGCTACTTTCGCCCTTTTCTCGCTCGTCTCGACCGTCTTCGCTGGAAATTGCGGACCAAAGAATGGCAATGCTAAGTGCGCTGCTTCAGAGTGCTGTAAGCTCTTTCCCCAATTTCCTTCTGTCTTCCTATATCTCCAGACACAATACCAATGAAAGAAACAGGCTCCCAGTACGGATGGTGCGGTACCACCGTAGACCACTGCGACGCCAAAACCTGCCTGAAGGACTTCTCAGGTGCATCCTCAAAGTGCAAGCCTACCGCCACTGCACCCACCACACCCGCCCAGACTTTCCCCGCCGACGTCCCTGAAATCGATGTGTGCGGTCATGCACAGGGTGGTGTAACGTGCCCCGGTGCCGGAGCCAACGGTTACTTCTACCGCTGCTGCAGCTCAGCCGGTCACTGGTAAGCTTCTCCCCCATTTCCCTTCCATAACCCCAACGCCCTACAGAGCAATGACTAACCACCTCCAAAGTGGCCCCAAGAACGACATCCAAGACCAATCCATCTACTGCGGCACCGGCTGCCAAGCCGGCTTCGGAAAGTGCGATCAGGAGGCTAAGCCACCCGTCCCAGCCCAGGCTCCTGGTATCTCCAATGACGGCGAGACCTGCGGACCCATTGTCAACAAGAAGTGTGCTGCTGGGCTCTGCTGCTCCGGATCCAACTTCTGCGGAAGCGGCGTGGATTTCTGTGGCGCTGCCAACTGGTGCCAGAGCAAGTGGGGAAAATGCAACTAAGCGTTTTGTCGAGTGTTTAGTAAGAGGAATGGGGGTAGCACGGAAGAGATGGAGAGTAGAAAAGTGGAATGGATGAGGGGAATGGAATATCATATTTTCCTCCTTCAATTATGTGTTAGTGACGTGAGGGGTGTTGATGGCGATGTTGACTTCACAAGATACCTACCCAACAGCTCAATGCACGTAAATCACAACAAAACTAACTCCTTCCATCCACCTTTGCTCATCAATCAGAACAAGCAGTTCGCACAGCACAAAACTCCCAGCATGAACCAAGACGAAAACGGATTCCGCTTCCACGGCGGCTCCAACACCCTAAAATCAAACCACATAACCCGCTACGAATACCCCTGGCCCCTCCATCACGGCATCCAAGCTCTCTACCTCCAACCCCCAAGCAACGCCTCAACGCGCCCTCGCCCCCAAGGCCGTGGCGACTTTGGTCCCAACGGCGCCATCTTCCTCACCATCTCGCGAGCAACACAACATGCAACCAGCGAAGCAGAACTCGTGTTGGAAACCGCAAACGACAATTCCAGCACTAATCCGCTGGGCAGAGCTATGGCTAGAGTAACGTGGTACCCGGGGAACACGCTGCTGCAAAGCGGCAAGTTTAAAAAGAAAGAAGGGTTTGTGTATGTGATTCAAAGGACGACGAGGATACCGGTGAGGAATATTGTTGATGGTGATGTTGGGGTGAGGGGGTTTGCGAGGGAAGAGGTTGTGTATGTTATTTTGTGTAGTCGGTGGAGGGGAATGAGGACGGGGGGGTTGCCGGGACATGATGGGTGGTGGCAACGGTTGCATGTACGGTCTGTATATGAATTTATCGTGTGGTGTAAGGGGGTTTGGACTGATTTTTCTTTTCGGGAATAGGATCTTTATAATGCGGGTTATGATCGCGCGTATTGGAGTACACGGGATACGATGGATAAGTATAATATACCTGTTCCTTTGATTGAGTGGTAAGACAATTCCCTCTCATCACATAACCACTCATACCTACCTAAATATGCCATCTTTATGGTACCTTTTCCCTCTCTCCAATCTTACCATACTAACACCCACCAGGCTCCCCAGACCAGACATATCACAAGCGGTAACAATTCCACCGCTCTCCCACCCCCTTCCTCCTCGAAACCCCCAAATGCCGCATCTGCTTCCGCGACTGGTACATCGACAGTTCCTACCCCTGCACCCTCTCTTGCACTCACACCCTCTGTCTCGAACGCCTAACCCACACCATCGACCACGCCGGCTACGGCACCCTCTTCCCCAACGAACCAGACCCAGGACGCAAATACTGGCGCTGCAGCACATGTCGCAGCATCACGCCCGTACTAGTCGATCGTGCAGACATCATAGCCCCGGATGAAGAGAACTACTGGCGCTATAAAATCGCGCGACATAGGATGCAAGAGTTGGTAACGAGTTGGCCGGTTATGTTGTGGGCGGCTGAGGGGGATGGGTGGTGTAGTGCGTTACCTGCGCGGTTGGAAGGGGAGAAAGCGGATCCGAATGAAGTTGTTTGGGCGAGGGTTGTTTCTATTCATTTACAAGATGCGATTATGGTTATGGAAGCACTGCCGGTTTTTATAGCGGTATTGCTGGATTGGGGGTACAGTCTTGATAACCCGGTTCAGACGGCGGAAGGAGATGTGCTTAAAGCGAGGCTTGTTGCTGAACTTGAGGATCTGGCTAGATCGGGAAGGAAGGTTCATACTGATGAGTTGGTGGCGCATTTGCGGGAAGTGGGGAGGCAGGCGGTGAGGCCGGTGGGGGTGGGGGATGTGAGGGAGAGGTTGGGAAGTCCGGTGTTGCCATCGGAGTTTGAGGTGTATAGGGATTTTCTTTGTGAGTGGACGGCTAGGGGGTGTTTTATGGGGCCGACGGGGAGGAAGGAGGTGTTGTTGTTTATGGAGAGGATGAGGAAGGAGGAGAAGGCGGGGTGGTGGAAGGAAGTTAGGGAGTGTTGGTTTGATCGTGTGCACCGGTCTGATGGGTCAAGACTTTTGTCGCCTTTTACCTTGCTATGGTTATACGAGCTGTATCATTCTTATCATTCATCTAAGTGATATTGAAGGTTTGGAATGCTGGGCAATCGTCGTGAGTAAGTACCTACTGTATAATGGAGGTTTCTTGCTACTATGTCGTCCTTTCAGCTCCTGCCTGCATACTTACTGATCTCACTGAACATAGGAAGGGTTATTGAGATATCTTGTTAGCCCATTGTACGGATCTACGGAACCCATCTTTGGGGTACTAACTGCTGCAGTCGAATGCTTCGTGACTGAGGACAAATCGACGTCGACATCATCAGATCCAGCTCCCACGATAAGGAAGAGAATTTGAACAATTTGTTACCCCGTTGTCTGCTGCGTTCTTCGGGCATGCGCACTACACTATCCTCCCACAAGCCGATTATTTTCTCCAAATCCTCGGCGAAATTCTCGTTCGGTAGTGCAAATTGCCCCTCACTACCCACTACCCCTCCAATCGCACACCTCAACCACGCTCCCACTCTTTTTTTTTAAGTATATAACATTGACAATTGCTGAATCCTCCATCGAACATCCGATATGGTAAGTCAAACACACAACTTCAACCTCCTAAATATCATTCTAATCCCTCCTCAGGTCTAGTGGCTAGGATTTGCCGCTCTCATTCAGCAGAGTCAGTTCACTGTACAGTGCCGGCAAGGCCCGGGTTCGATTCCCGGTGTCGGAAGCATTCTTTTTTGGTCTCTGAAGGGACCTGGGAGGTGTTGTGGTTGGCGGCGCTGAGGAGGGAGGGTAGTGGGACATTGTTTTTTGGCTGCACAGAGGGCTGGTGAGGAGGGGTCTTGGCATAGCGTAACATTGGAAAGGAGGGTAAGACTATATTAGATAGGGAGGGAGGATATAGTGTCTAAGTAGTTGCGTTAGGTAGGGATGATGTAGTAGGCGTGTTGAGAAGGGGATGACAGTGTTGGCTTCTAAGCGTCGCGATGATCACTTTTCTACAATACTATGGACTTCAATTAGAGATGATCCGTACAGTGTCTGCAGTACTAGAGCAGCCTTAATGTTTCGGTTTGTAGCAAGTTCACTTTAGTGTTGCATTGAAAGGCACACGCGTTCGGAACCACCCACCCAAAACTGCCCGCCGAGCGATTCCCTCACCAAACGACACTGGATTGCCCTGCTATTGCAGCGGTTATCAATTGACTGTGTAATTAGTTGAATACATTCTTTTATGTACGAAGAGATCTACACGAGTTACTGAGATTGTGCACGAACTTGTGTACGTGGACGTGTATGAATACGAAATGAGATTGAATCATTTTATAGGGACACTTTTGATATAGAACTGTTCCCAAGTGTAGTTAAACCTTTTGATAAGGATTGTACTTCGATCAATTGTATGGTTGTGGCCTCATTGATGCTCATATTGTGGATATCTGGGATAAATGCCTCAAAGCTTTCGAAGAACATTACTAAACTCTCAGTTCATGTTTCTCTTTTGCGCACTGATAAGATGAAACAGAAAACTTGCTCGCTAACTAGTAATGCGTCTTGTCTTAAATGTCTGCACTTCAACTATTCGAATCACCTCTAGGCTTATTTCTGATCAGTCGCAAGCGCCACGCAGCTGTGCAGAAGTCTGCAAGAGTATCTACGCTCCGTTCTACCGACGGCATCATTTCAAGTCCTTTGAGCTCTGCTGTATACCAGCATCACGCTTCTTGTACCACACAATCCAAGCCATAACCATGGCAATGATCAACACCAACACCGTTGTAACTCCAGTCGATGCAAAAGACGCCGTGTCGTGCGCGAGTCAGAGCGAACCCTCGAGCTTGACGTCGCCCAACGGAGGGATCTGCTTGTTGAGGTAGGCTTCGAGGTGGTCGATCTCACTAGGATCCGCCGAGTGACCCATACCCCTACACTTTGTTAGTTCGCATTCCATCTCATGTAATGTCAACATACTTGTAGGTCTTAAAGTCGACCTTGTATCCATGCTTCTCCAACTCCTCCGCACTCAACTTTCCCCACTTGTGCGCCACAACTGGGTCTGCGTCGCCGTGACCCATGAAGATAGGGACGTTCTGATTGGGGTTGTCCGTGGGAATCATATCCTTGATCGTCTTGCGCAAAAGCAGGTAGGAACTCAAGCCAATGATGCCACCCAGTTGATGCTTGCAGGTCACTCCAGACAACAGCGCCATGGCACCACCTTGTGAGAAGCCTCCGATGACGATGCGGTTTGCGGGGATTCCCTTTGCAATTTCCTGGTCAATCAGGCCGTGGATGTAGTCGCGCGACTTGTGGACACCTGGTTCATCCTCGCCGCGTTCGTCGAGATCGCTCAGGGACTTGATGTCGTACCAACCGGGCATCTTCATGCCCATATTCTTGTTTGTGTTAGCAACTATGTCGGTAGATGCAGCCCTTGGGAAAGGTAGAGAGGCGCGCGTACCAGTGTGATGGGGATGTCTGGCGCATTCGGGAAGACAAAAGACACTTCTTCAAACTTGCTTCGTCGTCGCCAGTTCTCCGCCAGGAAGATCCTATTGTAATCAGCATACACATGTTTGATACATGATAGCAGGCTTCATCATACCAGCCAGCCCCGCTATCTCCTAGTCCATGGGCAAAGATGACGGTAGCGGTGTGGCGCTTGAGAGCGGGGACGACCAGCGGTGCTCTTCCAGCCATGTTGCGAATGTATAGGTGATGTAGTGGGAGTGTCTTCCGTGGCTGCAAGGCGTGGGGCATCAGGCGGCGGGCTCCAAATTAGTGGACCTCGGCGCACGTCTCTCGCTAACCAAATGTGGCCGATGCAGGAACCAGGGGTCCAAGCTCCAATCATCGCTCATCGACGTCATGACCTCTGCCCCAAACATTCACCATAAACTTTCCCCTTTCGGCGTCTTTTATCCCTCACATCTGTCGCATGGAAGGTACAGCTGGTGAAGTTCGACCTTTGACTTACATTCTCATTTCATTGTGCTTCCTCTGTAACCAGATTTCGATTGACTAATCACATAATTCACGCTGTTACTGCCATTGCGCCTCGCCAGACAGTCACTGACTGTCGCGTTTCGATTTCCGAGAGCCCGAGGATACTCCATCATGGCAAGAGCAACGCGAAGCTCTGCTGTGAAGGCTGAGTCGACACCATCTGCTCAAACCGTCGCGCAGGAACCAGTACAGCTTTCCAGCCCTCCGGCCACCCCGGTGCCACGCAATGCGCGTAAGAGGAAAGCAGTCAAGGTTGATGAGTCTTCTGAAGCAACTTCACCAAAGAAGACCGCCGCAACGCCTAAGAGCAATAAAAGGGCTAAGGCTAAGAAAGCGACCGTCAAGGAAGAAGACACCAACGACTTGCCTCACAACCTTGGTGCCATTCCTGATCTCTCTGTAAAGGCAGAGATAGATGAGAACCCCTCACCTAAGACATCTAAGAAGAAGTCTCCCAAGGCAACTACAGCCAAAAAGGAAAAAGTCGAAGACATTGTTGCAAAAGCCACCTCGACCATCAAAGACCCTCCCAAGAAGAAAGAGAAAGCGAAGAACAGCAACTATGGCCTCACACCCGGCCACACCCCATACCCAAACTACCCTCATCCCACTCCCGAAGAATGCCAAGAAGTAACGCGTTTACTCTCCAAAGTCCACGGCAAGGTGCAAGCCCCCAAGACCATACCAGCGCCTTCACTCGAAGTCTCTGGCTGCGGCGAAGTCCCCTCCGTCCTCGATGCACTCATCCGCACGCGTCTCTCGGCCGCAACATCCTGTACGAACTCCTCTCGCGCCTTCGCAGGGCTGGTCCAGAAGTTTGGAATCCTGGAAGAAGGTGTGGGCAAGGGAAGTGTAGATTGGAACAAGGTACGGCTCGCCGACCAGAAAGAGATTTTCGAAGCCATCAAAAGCGGCGGACTTGCAGACGTAAAAAGTAAAGACATCAAGAAGATCCTGCAAATGGTGTGGGAAGAGAACCAAACACGTCGCGATGAGCTCCTCTCTTCCAAGGAAGCTTCAGGCTCCAAGGGCGAAGCAGCAGAAGACAAGAAAAACGAAGTCGAAAAAGCAGAACACAACATCGTCTCCCTTGACCACCTCCACACCCTCTCCTCAGAAGACGCCTTCACAGCCTTGACAAAATACCCAGGCATAGGTCCCAAGACCGCATCCTGCGTCCTGCTCTTCTGTCTTCAACGTCCTTCCTTCGCAGTAGACACGCATGTATTTCGGCTTTGCAAGTGGCTCGGTTGGGTGCCACCACCTGGCGACTCCCGGGGTCTCGCACCTGGCGGAAAGGGTACTTTTGTCGGACCAACGCGCAATTCAACATATGCGCACTGCGAGGTCAGGGTTCCAGATGATTTGAAGTATCCGCTGCATCAGTTGCTGATCAAGCATGGTAAGGCGTGTCCGAGGTGTCGGGCCATCACCGGGGAGGGCAGTGATGGGTGGGAGAAAGGATGCCCAATTGAGCATCTTGTCAAGAGGGATGGGGTCAGGAAGGGGGAAGGAGAGGATAGTCCTGTGAAGGGCGGTGCGAAAAAGGGGAAGGCGAAGAAAGGAAAGAAGGAGATTGAGGAGTGGGAGAGTGATGCGAGGAGTAGTGAAATAAGTGATGCCGAGAGCAGTGACTTGAGTGATTTGGTAAGCGATGCTGAGGTTGAGGAGTCGGAGGCTGAGGAAAATGAAGACGAAGAGTAGAATGTGGGGATGACTTTACTTCTGTCATGTATTATCATGTTTATCATTTCTATTATCTGGTGTGCAGGCTTTCGTATTCAGAGGAAATCATAGCGGCATATCAAGTGTTTTCCTACGTTTTCCAATAACACCATCACTACTTCTCTTACATATCAATGTAGCCAAACCACCCAGGTCCCCTTCACACTTCAACCAACCCCTCACCGTCTCATTTCTCACTTCAATGCCCGAAAACCACAACACAATCAACGCACACAAAACCAACCCCACGCGCGCTCAAAGCAAAACAAGACGTAAAACCTCTATGCATAAACCCTCGTACACTTTACCGTCCCATCCGCATCCGCACCCCACAGCCACAGTCAGGACTCTTTTCGGACACATACACACAAACAGTAACCCAGCAAACCCATCATCCTACTCGCGCATTACATGCGAGCTTTGCACACTCAGCACGCCAAGCACAAGCCACATACGTATCAAAGAGGCACGTGTGGTTGTTGAGAGCGGGACATGGCTTTATGTTTGGTAGTGCTGAAAGCCTTTTACCCAGGGCTGGTTCGTGTGGTGTGGTTTGACGGAAAACAGGCAAAACAACATGTATGCAGGAACCGTTCTTGTACGCTCTACTTTGCCTTTTGAGAGCCGGTGTGGACAAAGAGGGGTAATTGCGATACTAAAATGCATCATCTGTCTGATGCATGAATTTAAGAAGTTGTGACTTGATCTCGTAGACCTTTTGGGTCTTTTTAGTTTTGATAGATAAACTTGCTGGAGTGATGGATGGAGTAGGGTATAAGTCGTATTACTCAACCCCCAGATCTAGCCAACCAATCAAGTCACTCTTCACTTTGTATAAAAACGCCGTGTCTGCTCCCCCTCCCACCCAGACATACAAGTAACACAACATCTCATCATGCAGACCATGGCACCATCTCTACCATGTCAGCGTGACCAGACTCACTGTATAACCAACTTTACCCCTACCTCCCGGGCCCCTCCCCCAGTCATCCTCAG